ACACACATAAATACACATATACACACATATTCAAAAATGATTATTTTTAAAACTGAACATTCGTATTACCTAAGTATTAAACCACAATTAATTTTGTATAAAATATCTACTGATAAAGTATGATAATGACTTTTCCTTGGGAAAGCCAGATGGCATTGGTATTAGAAAGTGATGCTTGGCATTGCTCACTTGTGAGCATCTGTGTGTGGTGCTGTTTGCTGAGCTCCGTACTCAGCCCCCAAGTGAGAGGACAGACACCCACCATGCTGGCTAGGTTTTTGTCAACTCAACACAAACCTAGACAAACCTACCTCGGCAGAGGGAATCTCAACTGAGGGGTTGCTCCCAGCGGATTGGCCCGTGGGCCTGTCTATGGGGCATTTTCCTGATTGCTGATCGATCTCAGAGGGCTCAGCCCACTGTGGGCGGTGCCATCCCAGGCAGGTGGACCTGCGTTATATAAGGAAGGCAGTGGGAGCAAGCCGGTAAGCAGTTCTTCTGTGGTCGCCTTGAGTTCCAGCCATGGCGTCCCTTGACGACGGACTGTGATCTGCAGGCCTTTCCTCCCCCAGGTTGCGTTTGGTCACAGCGTTTTATCACAGAGACGCAAGCTAGGACGCATTGTTTTTACGCCTCACAGATGAGAATGGGAGTCCCGAGAGACAAAATAGCTTGCTCCAGCTGAGGCACAGTTTGGACCCAGTGGTCTCACTCTGGAATCTGCACTCACAGCTTCAGGTTTCTGATAAATATGAAGGTCTACGTTAGGATCACTGGGACTAGCATGTACTGGAGGAGCCCTCTGGGTCTCTCCAGAGCAAGTGTGCTCTTGCTGTGGGCTTTGCTTGACTGCCAGCTGTGGGGTCTTCACCGGGAATGGGCCCTTCCTCCAGCTCCTGGTTAGTTGGCGTCTGTCCCGTGTATAGCTACTGTGGGGAACCCAGGCCGTCAGAGTTGACGGGTTACCTGGAGCATGTGCTCAGTGTACAGGAAGCCCCGGTCAGAGCCCCAGCACAAGCTCCTTTCAAATCATCAAAGCCCTGTATCAGCACCAAGGTTGAAAGCGTAACGGCCTTTCTCCTTTCTTGAAGAACCAGCATGCCGAATGTGCCGGAGCAGCCCCTCATTTCTGCTGGCGAAAACAGGGTGCAAGTGCTGAAGAACATGCCCTTCAACATTGTCCTCCCCCACGGCAACCAGCTGGGCGCCGATAAGAGAGGCCACCTGACGGCTCCTGATACAACAGTCACTGTCTCCATAGCAACCATGCCTCCCCACTCCATCAAGACCGAAATCCAGCCGCACGGCTTTGCCGTGGGGATCCCCCCATCCGTGTACCACCCTGAGCCCGCCGCCGCCGCCGCCGAGCGTGTGGTGGTGTTCGACCGCAGCCTCAGCACTGACCAGTTCAGCTCCGGCACTCAGCCTCCCAACGCTCAGCGGAGGACCCCAGACTCCACCTTCTCAGAGACCTTCAAGGAGGGCGTTCAGGAGGTACAAAAGACAAAAACATCTTCCTAAGACGGCAGCGTGTTTGTCTAAGTATTGGGTTCCACCTTTTCCTGGTTATGTAAGCTTGAAACTTAGCCCGGAATGAGTGGATCAGGAAGAAAAAGATTTTTTTTTTTTTTTAAGAGAAAGGCCCGTAGGATAATTTGTAAGCTAAACCGACAAATCCAAAAATTATCATCAAGGGCACATGGGTAATCTTACCAGCAGCTGAGTTAACAATTATGGTTTCCGCTAAGAGGTTTGCTGGGGACAGAGAAAGGAAGCCTGTGTATAATCTCCCGACCACAAGTGTGTTCTCAGAGTGTTTCTCCAGCTTTCGTCCTAGACCCGAGAAAGCGCCCAAAGCCAGCCTCGTGTGGCAGCGCTGTCGCATCTTCTCTGGGTGCTGCTTGTTTTGTGGCGTAGTCCAGGGTTGGAGGTAGTCATCAGGACACTCTATGAGTTCCAGAGAGTTGGAAGGGTCCGACCACGCAGACCTCGCTAGATGAGCATGTAGGGTGTTGGAGGCGGGTCTTACGGCCCCTGAGGATCTTTTAGGTGTAGAAACTGACACTTTCCAGGAAAGGGGAGCAGACTTGCCCAGCCCTGGTGCACACTTGACTCCTGGCCCTTGTATTTTGGCTGCAGATTCTAGACTCTGAACATTTGATGTGTGGGAAAGATAAGGGACAGGGAAGAGTGGATCACAGGCACTTTGTGAAGTGTGTGTGTGTGTGTGTGTGTGTGTGTGTGTGTGTGTGTGTGTAGCTATTCACATGAGTGGTGGATAAAATTACATATTTACTTTTTATTATCTGTATATGTATTGGTTTTTCAGAACAGGATTTTTCTGTGTAGCTCTGACTGTCCTGGAACTCTCTCTGTAGACCAGGCTGGCCTTGAACTCAGAGATCCACCTGCCTTTGCCTCCCGAATGCTGGGATTAAAGGTGCAAGACACACCACCAGACCGATATTTATTTTTTTATGACTTTTCTTAATTAAAATTTTTTTTTATAGATATAAGATTCTTATTTTGAAATGAGCCACAAAAGGGTTGTGGGTTACCGTATGCCACACACTGTACCCGTACCGGGCGTTGGTCATTAGTAACCATGATGATAGTTAAATGGTCGTGGCTCACTCCATTGATATTTCAGGTTTTCTTCCCCTCGGACCTCAGTCTTCGGATGCCGGGCATGAATTCAGAGGACTATGTGTTTGACAGTGTTTCTGGGTAATAGTTGTCTTTTTATTTGACTTTTGAGTTTTCAGCCTCTGTGGTCACTTCTCCTTCTGGTGCGTTGGTCCTGACAAACCCGAGGTGGCTTTGACCTGCTTTCGCCCTCCTCTGACTCTGCCAGCTGTGGCTTTACCTTGGGAAGGGAACTTTCCCTGTGGTGATTCGATGTGGGACTCTGGGTTTCACCTCCTTGGCTCCTGGTGTCGGTACTTTTTCCTTCCCTGGCTCCCTTCTGGGGTGTGGTGGGATGGAATCTCAGGGAGAGATGGGGATTAAGGTAGATCGCCGGGCCGTCTGTTCCCAAAACTGTGCATAGAGCTGACAGTTTAGGGGCAAGTTAAGTGGACAAAGGTCTTGATTATCCTTGTTAGTGATAAAATAAACAAACGTAACTTTCTCTTCTGACCTGACCACTTATTTTTAGCTTAGCAAAACTGTACCCTAGCCTGGGAATAGGAACACTTTCTAGGTTCATCAGAAGTATATCAACACCTCAAGATTGTTTTTAAAATTTAGGATTTTTTATTTTATGTGTCTAAGTGCATCATATTTTGCAGTTTAAAACAAAAAAAACAAGGGCATCGAGACAGCTCAGTGGGTAATGGCGCTGGCCACCGAGCCTGATGATCTTGGTTCAGTCCCTGGAGGCAGCAGGGTGGGAGTAGGGGACCTCCTCCAGGGTGTCCTCTGACCTCCCACACACACTAAACAGATAGACAGACAGACAAACTTGCAGGATTTAGACTTCCTCTATAAGCATGTCCCAAGGTGTAAGGATCACAAGCTCACAAACATTAGGTGTGGGGTAGAGCTGGCAGGCTTTCCCTGTCACGTGTCAGATGGTGAACACTTCAGGCTCTGTCAGCTAGATCGCCTCTCTAGTTCTGTGACCAGCCGGCTTTGCCGTCACAATGAACAAGGGGTCTGCAGATAAGGCATAAGCGAGTGAGTGGTATGGCTGTGTTCTAATAAAACTTTATTTAGCAAGTTTTGTACTTGGCTGACATCTGGTCTAGGAAGGTTCTGAGTGGTTGTGTAAATTAGCAGGAGACATAGGCAGTCATGGAGTGCCAGTCTAGAGACAACTTGCAGACGGAAGCTACAGGAGAGTGCTAGCAGGCAATTGACAGAGTGCTGTGCTCCCAAATGACCGGGTGCTGGGCTCCCAAAAGACCAAGTATTTTGTTCCAAAAACGCCCGAGTGTCGTGCTCCCAAATGGCTGGGAGTGTCCTGCTCTCAGCCCATTTACAACCTTTGTTCCATAAAGACCAGATTGGCAGCCAGCCCCGGGAGGTTCCCGCCACCTCCTGTCCAGTTCCTGATGCCATTTGTAGCCCAAGCATCCAAATGTCTAGTTGTTGACATTACATCATTACATAGAACTTGTAATCGGTATTTCGTAGCCACTGTCTGAGACTTTCTGGTCACCAATGGTCACTAAGCCTTGTGTTTGGATCCTGTTTATCAAGAAAGGAGACATGTGCTGCTTCTGACATGGTGTGGTCTGCTGGATGATGGCTGATGGTCTTCTGTCTCAGTAACCCCCGACACACACACACACACACACACACACACACACACACACACACACACACACACATCACATCACACTGAAGCACTTCAGGACTAAGGTGTACCAGAAGTTTCCAAGAGACTGGCCTGGAAACCTGTTGCTTCTTTGTCCTGTAGGAACAACTTTGAGTATACCCTAGAAGCCTCCAAGTCGCTTCGACAGAAGCAAGGGGACAGCACTATGACTTACCTGAACAAAGGCCAGTTCTATCCAGTCACCTTAAAGGAAGTGAGCAGCAATGAAGGGGTCCACCACCCGATCAGCAAAGTTCGAGTAAGTTCTGTACCTGATACTGCTCTCTGAGAAGCTTCTGTCAGGGACCCTCGTTCCTAATACTTCCAGGTTCTTGAAACTGAATATAGGCCTGAAAGTGCCAGGGATTGTGTTTAAGGATTAATTTACCTTTATTCCTATGTCTCGGTGAGTGTTTGCACATGATAGAGATGCCCTTGGAGGCATCGGCTCCCTTGGAACTGGAGTTACAGGCTGTTGTAAGAGGCCCAGAACAGAACTCAGTGCCGGGAACAGAACTCAGGTCCTCTGGGAGAGCAGCAAGTGTCAGAACTACTGGGCTGTCTCCCTAGTCCCCCACGGTGTTGCTTTAAGTCTGAACCGTACGATCTGGTAACAAAGACTTCCCTGGAAGCTGCGCACCCCTCGGTTTCCTCACTCTGTGCTGCGTTCTCGTTCCCAGAGCGTGATCATGGTGGTTTTCGCCGAGGACAAAAGCAGGGAAGACCAGCTGAGACACTGGAAGTACTGGCACTCCCGCCAGCACACGGCCAAGCAGAGGTGCATTGACATTGGTGAGTGGCCAGAAGCCCACCTTTGCTCTCCGAGGCTCGGTGCCCGGCCTCCCAAACCCAGTTAGTCTTGGCATTGATGAACTTCCTGCCGAAAGCATTTGAATTCTGATGCCAGCCGCAGATGTGTTCCAGGCAGTGTCCTGCGCCTCCTGGAATCAGGGCTCTGTCCTCACTTCCTTCTTGGGGCCTGTGCCCAGGCAGTGGTTTGCCGTGTGACTCTGGAGCCAGGAACCTTAGCCAGCTAACGTAGGAGTGTCCCACTTTCAGCCTGTGGTTCCTCTTACCCCTTCTCTGCTGTGTGTGCCGGGCATGGAGCCTGGGATGGCACACCTGCTAGGCGAGCACTCGACCATCGAGACACACCTCCCCGTCTGCACATTTTGGGGGGTGGTAATGTCGTCTTTAGGAGATGCTTGGTTCTCTTTAGAGATGATGATAAAAAAGAGATTTCCGAATGTGCAAAAGGAAAACCACTTCTCCAGCTACGCCCTGAGCTAGGTTGCTGATCTCACTGGTCTGTAATAATCCAGTGGTGGATGCCCAGGGTTCAGCTCCACAAAGCCTCTGTTCCCTTCCAGTTTCCAGTCTTACACAACGCCATCATCTACCCACAGGTGGCCATCCATCTGGGGCTCCTGTTTCTCTGTCTTCTGAAATTCTCAGGCTCTCTTTTCTGTAAGAATCAGAAGAGCCAGAGTTCTCTCTTTGTTGGGACAAGGTCTTTCAATCTAGCTCAGGCTGGTCTCAAACTCTTTGCATATCCCAGGTTGCCCTTGAATTCACACCAAAATCCTCCTGCTTCGGCCTCCCAGTTTCTGGGATTATAGGCATGTGCCTCTACACCCAGCTTAGAAGATCTGAGTTCTAATCTTGCTTCCAGAGATCAGTTTTGGAGTTTTGGGATCTTAAGACCATGCTTAAACTTTTTAGACTTAAACTTCCTAATTTTGACCCAGTGATAATGGAATTAACTATATCTAAGCTTGCCTGTATTTAAAAAAAAAAAAAGAAAGAAAGAGCCCTGGGATTATTTTTCCTCCTTTATTTTAGAATTTCTTTCAACCCAACAAAATGCTTATTTAAATTGTCCGGAGGATAATGCAGAAAACTGAGTATTTCTTTGCTTGCTATGATCTCACATTGAAACTAACAGTTGTGACTTTCTTTTTCTCGTCCAATGCTTCTTGTAGCCGACTACAAAGAAAGCTTCAATACTATCAGCAACATTGAAGAGATCGCTTACAATGCCATTTCCTTCACCTGGGACATCAACGACGAAGCGAAGGTATTTCATAACGTCCAGGGTGTGTCCCTGCCAGCTGTTTGAAAAGTGGGAGGAGCTTCCCGATTTCACAGCTGATCTGCTTTGCACTTTTACGCTTGTCCCCTCCTAGAGGTTATGAAACTGTCCTTACAGTTCCCACCCTCCTCCGAAGCAGCATTTTTTTCTTCCCGTCCCTCAGCGCAGAGTCCAGGCTGTGACGCCTCCAGGCTGGGCTGTCGTCACCTGCCAGGGCCTCCTGTCCGACCCCCGGGTCCATCCAGGCCCTCTTCCCTTGGCTTCACTTCCTCATTTGCGGAGTAGCATTCATACTCCGCCTTCCCCCAACTCCGTGATGTGATGTAAGGATTAGTGCGGCCGCGTCCCGGCAGCCAGGTGGGGTTCCTGCAGAAAGGGTAAATCCAAGTTAGCCTCAGTGCCCATTTCCCACCGTTTGCAGACTTAACCTCGGGAGAGTCTTCCACCTCCTGCGTTGACAGTGCACAGTTGCCTCCATGCAGAGGGTCACTTGGATGATTTTCTGGGACTTTTCAGGGGAGTCTTGGAGACATAGTCTTAAGTTGTGTCTCCCTTCCCATGACAGCCTCTCCATTCTCTTCATTAAACTTATTGGAGTTTTGCTGGGCAGTGGTGGCGCACACTGTTACTAATCAGAGGCAGAGGCAGGCGGATCTCTGAATTCCAGGCCAGCCTGGTCTAGAGAGCGAGCTCCAGGACAGCCAGGGCTACACAGAGAAACCCTGTCTCAAGAAAAACAAAGAGAAAAAATATCGAATGAGTTCTGGCATGTCGTTACTTTAGAAATCAGAGCCCCAGAAGCTCTTGGGTACGGGGAAGGGCCATCGCAAGCTTTTGTTGTAAGATTAGTGATGCTTTCCTTTATTCAGGGTTCCCACGCATGGTCTGATCACCTTCCTGCCCTTTCCACCCTCTCCTTTCCATTCTTCCATTTATTCAGGAAGAATTTTGGTCTCTGTTGAGAGTGTAGGCCTTATAAAGCATGAGATCCCCAGCATCTCATGCCTGCTCTCCCTAAAAGAAAAGAAGGTCTTTTAATTCATGGGATAAGACACTACATTAGAAGCTTATGGTTATCAGGGCTTGCTTCAATTTCTGTTGCTTAAAATTGCTTTTAAAAATCAAATGCTGTGGCCGGGTGTGGTGGTACACGCCTTTACTCCTAGCACTCAGGCGGCAGAGGCAGGTGGAGTTCTGTGAGTTCCAAGCCAGCCTCTTCTACATAGTGAGTTCCAGGTCAGAGCCAGAACTCCATAACTGAGAACCTGTTTCCAAAAAAAGAAAAAAGAAAGAAAGAAAGAAAGAAAGAAAGAAAGAAAGAAAGAAAGAAAGAAAGAAAGAAAGAAAGAAAGAAAGAAAAGAAATCAAATGATGAGGTTCTCGGGAGTCACATGCAGTTAGTTCTCCTGTCCCATGTGTCATGGTGGTTGTATCTAAGGCAAAGGACGACCTTCCACTGGGTGAGACAGTCTGCAGGAAGCTCTGGGGGCCGCGACAGTCTCCCCTGCCAGCCCCCACCGCTCCATCCAGATGTCAGCTGGCTGCCCCTCCAGAGCTGGTGCTGGATTCCGTTTTAGAGGGGCTGCTGAGGGAGGCACGCCACTTTGCATGTTTGTCTCAGTTATTTTGAAACTTAACACTGCGATTGGACTTAGCGTGCGGCTTCTAAGAAGCCAGGTAAGAGGAGCTGGCCATGCCCTCTGGGCGCTTCTGGTCTCGGGCTCCTGAGAAGTGTTTCCTGCTTCACTGGGAACCCTCGGAGCCGCAGCAAGGAAGCACTGTACCGAGTTCTCTAGTCTGACTTACTGTGACCTACGCCAGTCTCTAGCTGGGGGAGGGGTGGGTGTTTCGTTTGTTTGTTTGTTTTTTGCACCTTTGCCACCATTGGAAAAGCAAAAGGCTGATGAGGCCGGTTCTGCCGTCTGTTGGGTGTGGCCGGCGTTAATAAGCACTTGTCAGGGCCTCGGAGATCTGGGCTGGAAGGACCTGCGTATGGGCAGGGTGTGTCACTGGAGGGTGGGAATAAGGAAGGCTGAGGAAACAGGGGCGGCAGGCTGTGTGCTGAAGGCTGACGGGGACCTGCCCCAGACAGAACTGCTCCCCGTGCTCCCACCGATGCAGAGGCAGAGCGGGCTCCCTCCTCTTACCCACTCAGAGTCTGCCCACAGCCCTCTCCTACTCCCGGGACATGGTGGTGTGCCATTCCTTAATGAGGCTTCTCCCTTTTGAAGCTGATACCAGACATCAGTTTCAAGCGCGTGCTGGAATCCAGCACGTCGATTCTTTGCTCTCCCCAGCCAAGTCCATGCTTCTGTTTTCATACTTAAAGTAATTAATGCCTCGAGGTGGCTAGAGTGAGTAGGTGTGCGTGCAGAATCCTGTAGAGTCGGGGTGTTTTGTTTACTTACTTTATGAAAGTATCTACCTTCTTAAATGGCTCCCTTTCTTGTTCTCACTTAGATATGTTCGTTTGTAATTAATTCATTGTTTTCTTAGTAGTGCTGAGAAATAAACCCAGGGCTTCATGCTTGCTAGGCAAGTGCTCTACCCGTGAGCTACACTGCAGCCCAGTATATGTTAATTCCTGATTGTCTCGCACAAAACGTCCAGGTTGGTGGGAGATGTATGGCATTCCTTTGCTCTGACTTCTAATGGTAACATCCACTCTCTGGCATGCCAGCATGAGTTGATCTAGGATTCTGACCAGGGTCTTTCTCTGAGTCCTACCTGTTCGTGGGCTTCTGCCTCTTAATTGGATGTCATTGTTTTGAGAACACACAAAGGTAAATCATGAATGTCTTGACTCGTGTGCTACTTGGGAAAACACTGCTCCAGCCTGGACTCAACTCATAGTGTACCTGTGCACAGGCAGTTCATGGATGTAAGCAGGAACCCGCTGGTGCCACAGACGTGTTAAGGGAAAAGCCATTTGTTTTTAAAGCAGAGGCAGAAAGGGAAGCTGCTTTGAAAACTAGGAATGTCTGGGTGTGGTGGCACACTCCTTTTATCCTAGCATTTAGGAGGCTGAGACAGGCAAACCTCTGCATTTGAAGCCAGACAGGTCTACATGGCGACTCCAGGGCCAGCCAGGGCTGCATAGTGAAAGACGTTCATTGGCAGCTGGATGCCCTTCTAAAGACTTAGAAGTTGACGGACAGGTTACAGTTCCTCTAGGCAGTGGCTCCGATTTCTTCCCTAGCACTTGTGGCCAAGCTGGGCTACTGGACACCATTCAGCGGGAAGCAGCAGCGTCTGCATTTGGACCTTCAAAGACTTGATGGTGATGGTAGGGAAAGACATGAGGGCCAGAGAAGAAAGAAGAGGAGGTGAGGAGCTGGCGTACAGCAGAGTGGGCACGTGCTCAGCTGCGTGGGCACCCCCTTGAGCCAGCGGGTCCCTTCCACCCTGCAGGAGCCAGGCTTGGTCCATCTAGCGGCTGATGCTCCAGCAAGGCTAGCCGCAGACTCCTGCCTCCAGGTCTGGGGTTCCAGACGGTACCACTGTAACCGCAGCTCACCTAGGTCACACATTAAATAGACTCTTGAGGAGCAGCCCAAGACCTTCAGTGTGGCATCACCACGTCAAGGGAAAATGTGTGCGTTACTTCACACATGAAGTTTGGAGATGAAAGGCTCAGTCAGGGTCTCTACAATAGTCCTAGGAAGAGGGAAGGATTGTGGGTCTGCTGGAGCTCCTGGCCTGAGTCTGCTCTTATCTGGCGTGGGTCATAAACCTTAAGTGTTTACAGCAGCGCCGAGATTTGGTTAGTGATAGAAAGAGGAAGCCCAGGGGTCTAAAATAAATAGTGGGAAGAGAAGTGAGAGGGAGAACTAAGTCCTGTGTGTAACTGTCCCTCACAGGCTGGGCTGTCCCTCACAGGCTGGGCTGTCACTCAGACTGTGCTGGGCTGTCCCTCACAGGCTGGGCTGTGCTGTCCCTCACAGGCTGGGCTGTGCTGGGGTGCCTTGCCGTGTTCACACTCCACCCAGCACCATGTAGCAGCGCTTAACCCTTTCAGGACAGCATTGTGGACTCACTAATGGAAATGACTCTAGAAAACACTTGGGTGACAGTCAACTGCAGAGGAGTGGAGATTATAAACCGAAAAGCACCCGGTCCTGGACAGCAGCACCAAGGAAGGTCATCTAGCGGCGGCGGCCTAGGCGTGGCTCTGGTCACAACCAAGTAGCCAGAAGGGCAAAGAAGATGGCGGTGGTTCAGGGCACAGCTCCGGCTCTCTTTGCTGTTTGCTCTTTGTGAATATTAAACTATTAAGGATGTGATAGGCTCCGGGGATACAGAACCTCTAACCAGTGAGTTTGCCTCGTGCTGATCTAAAGCCTTTAAGGTAGATTGTGTTGTGACTACATTCACATGGCCCACTCAGAACTACCGGTACCCAAGAGTTCCATGTGAGGTGTTGTGGGCCAGGCCCCCGGGGTGGGTGATAGCAGGAGCTTTTCGAGTTGTGCCTCCCGAGGCTTGAGGCTGCCCGGGCTCGGGGTCTTTGCCCACCACTCTGCCTGCCGCAAGCCCCCCTGGTGTGATTCGTGAGTTGCCATCCGGGCTCTTTCAGAAGGAGGCTGATTAGTCTTAGTGTGTGACCAGGCTGCTCACTGACCAATGGGACCGCAACTTACCATGCTGGGACCCGTCTGTGGGTGTGACGGGTCAGTTGCAACACACTTCGTCTCTCCCTGGTTAGCTCCCTCCCGTTTCTTGCCTTCCACGCAGGGCACAGGCTGAGGGGTTAGGGCAGGGGCAAGGGTGGTCAGAGGCGCAGCCTCCTGTCCCTGGAAAAGCTGTGGGGTCGGACCATATGCTTTCACAGCCCGCTGGAGCCACCTGCTCTGAGAAGGTACTCGCAGGACTCTGGGCGGTTGTCCTGGAACACAAGTGTTCTGTCATGGAAAGGCTCATGTTACAAAATAAAGAGGATTAAAACGACTTGACGCCTACCTTGAGGTCCCATAAGCTTTACCATG